GCTGTTAAGTACTGTGGTTTCAAAGCACAAAGGTGATAGAACGAAGCGGACATCTCCAGTATTTTCCGAATTTAGTATTTTCCCATAGGCTTAACATTACGATGTTATGACCTCTAACTGACCTCAGGTCAGTGACCTCAAAAAACCCGAACTATATGTTATACAACTCGGTGAACTTAGCACATCCTGAAAGTTTGAAGGAAATCAGTCCAAAACAGTGAGTTGGACAGGTGCAAAAAGAAAATTGAAATTTGACCATGACCTTGTACCGGTTTTTCTGACATGGTGACGACCTGACCCAAGGTCACCCGGACTTGAAATTTTCAGGTCATATGTAAAAGGGCTGCCCCATAGGCTGTGCCAAATTTGGCGGCGCTGCGCGCCGCCGTTTTTACGCTATCTTCGTTAGGGGGTCGCTTCGACCCCCCTGCCAGGGCGAGGGTTAAGCTATCTTGAAGCACCACTGTTTTGCTGATGTATTCAACGGTATTCAAATTTACAGCAAATAGCATTTCCGGGTCACGATGAGCCAAATACACCCGAACCCAGCATCCGCGAAATATTGGCCCACTTGAATACATGAAAACTTGGAAATCTTAGCCCGACATCTTGGCCAGCTCTCCCCGAAATCTCGCCTACCATAAGCCAGTTTATCGGTGCCCAGTGACGCCCAGCGCCGGGTTCCGTGCACTATCGTGTGTGAGACCGTCGAACTGAGGAAAACCGCCGGGCTATTCCGCGCTGCACAGCCTGAACGCTCAAATTAGCTGCCGATGATAATGGCTGTTTTCTGCCGGAGCCGCCCTCTAATAGTGAATTACCGTCGACGTATTCCGGGAAGCGAATATTCTCAGGCCGCCCGAGGGCCCGGAAAACTCTACCGATCGCTGGCGCAGGCTTGCATCGTCGACAATACGCTGATACACTGTGTACGGTGGCCAGCGTCAGGCCATACTGGGAGGTGCGGCCATACTAAGTGGTCATCTATTACTGGGTATGGTCACATGCTGTGCGGGTGTGGCCGTACTGTCTGGGATGGCCACACTGAGCAGCGTGCTCCCACATCATAGCAGCTGTAGGAATTGCTGCGTTGCGCAGTCGCACATTCAAAAGCAATTAAAAGTATGCAAGTCAAAGATAGTATCGTGTCTGTGAGGAGCACATTGCACGGCCCACCCCCGCTGGGCCGGCGGCGGAGCAGCCCGTCAGGAATGCCAGACCAGATCATTGCCGACCGGTATTGGATTCCTCTGTCTCGTTTGGCTCGTCACAATCGGTATTGATGACTAATGCCGGCCTCTGATGGCTGCTCCATGGGCTAGTATTGTAAAATATCAGACGTGTTTATGTGCATTTTGTTGTGCTTTAATTCGATATCGTATTGGAGGGCCGCAAATACCCATGAAAGCATAAACATTTTTTATGATGCTGACAAATGCGATACTGTTTATTATGTGCATGAGCTGCATGATTTATTTCGTCGATCAAGGTGTTGTTGTTTTTATATAGCTCCGCGCCTCCTTCACTCAGCATTAAACAAATAATGGAAATACACCTCAAACTCGTTAATCCCTAATGATGACCCGAATTGCCTTTCTCTCGGAGTTTTACGACGCATATAGGACAATAAAGACAAATTTGCTGCACTAACTACTCCACAATGATTAAAGGAAGTTACTAAGACGTTTCGAGAGTTTGCATTTTACGACTATCATCTACAAAACATCTGCACACACTAAAACTCTTCGCGATGAAACTGGTTGGCTAGTTGACATGCACGGCGTCGGCCGCGGAGATTTTCGCGAACATTTCGTTTACGATCGTGCCCCTATTCGTGCTGGGTAAGTGCTGTCTCGGCCAGTCTGTTCGGACGCCGCCGAACCAGCTCACGGCACAGCGTCCCCACCAACCAGGACACGCCAGAGGAAGCTGCGAGCGGAGGTCGCCGATGACGTCATAGTGTGAGCAATTAGTGAGCAGGATGCGGTCAAAGTGCGGGCGACAATGCTGCCCTTGGAAACAACCCCGGCGCAACGCGTCATTTTGACGTCAACAACGCCCATTTACTCCACATTTATCACGATTATATTAAGAACGAAATCCGGAATACATGTCGACTTCCCACGATCATGAGGTCGGCCGGACGCGGGCGCGCGCAGGGCGACATTACCATCAGCGATCTGTGTGCAGTTGAGCGGTGCTCGTTTGTGGGAGCGCGCCGGCGGGCCGCCGGGCGGAGAGCAGAGCGGTGTCGATATCTCCATCTGCGCTCCGGCAGGCTGGCCGGCCTGGCTGGGGTCGCCCCCGCAGCGGCCCGGCCGCCGGGCGGGCCCGGGCAGATTATTAGAGGCGGTAAGCTGGCGCCCCCTGCCGACGGCCCAGATTTAGAGCGCTCCTCTTCCGCGGCGGGGGGCCGGGGGTCAGCGGGTTCAACGGCGCACTGGTCACGTGATACGGAGCCGGCGCCGCGAGGCGAGGTCACGTGACGGCGGGCGCCGGCCGGCTGGACGGCAGAGCGAAGGGTTTTCGATGACGGTGGGTTTTAGAGGCGCTTGTCCGTGTGTTGGAGCACGCTGCTCTGGCACGCACTGCGGTCAACGGTCACGGCCCGTCGGCGGGCCGAGCTCTGACCCGATCAGCCCGGTCAGCTCCAATTCATCGGCAGACGATAAAACCGTTTTTACTCCGGTTAAATTTCCATTCTGAGAGCCGCTGCCGAAACAGACGCCAGCAGATGCTCGACTTCATGAACAAGACTATACCTAAGTGGAGCAGTAATCCAGGCGCAGAGAAATTCGACGGCATAACTCTTATCGTACCACTTTCATCCAAGATACATTTTATTGATACACCACTGATGTGCATTCGGCCATATTTTCGGCTTTTAATGTTTACAAGGAGTGGCTTGATCTGCCGCTGCAACGCGCAGAAGATTTACATAGAGCGGTCCAGTCCCACTGCGCAGAGCACCAGGGTTGTGCTTGACTCATGTGTCGAGTCAGAAATTTGACTCAACTCTGACTCAAATGAGTCAGATTTGAGTCGAGTCGGATAAAATGTTGAGCTGTTGAGTTGAGTCAGAGTTGAGTCGGACAAAAATATTAAGGTGTTGAGTTGAGTCAGAGTTGAGTCAGTAAAATAACTTTTGACATTGAGTTGAGTCAAAAACATTTAGGAACATGAGTCAGCTGACTCAACTTTCTAGAAACAATATATAGTATAAGTTTTTCATTCTCCCCCCGCTTAACAACTTAGGCCTGGCCCTGCTGCCGGATTTTCTTACCCCTCCCCCCGCTCAACAACTTTTTTATCTGAGTCAATTTTGAGTCAACACACTTGACTCAACAAAAAATTTGAGTCAAGTTTGAGTCAACTCATATTTTCATTGAGCCGCTTGAGTCATGAGTCGAGTCAAGGGAAAAAATCAGCTCCTTGTTTGAGTCAGAGTTGAGTCAGGGCATTCTGAAGTTGAATGATGAGTCGAGTCGGCAAATTTTTTTTTGAGTCGAGCACAACCCTGCAGAGCACGCCATGTAACGGCAGTCGCGCAACATATCGACCTGACCTGGTTCTACACCACACAGTATCATTAATAATTGTTATGTAAAGAGCGCACGTTGAAATATTGTACATTGTCCGGTAATGGATGGCATTGGCTGTCATGGGCAGCGTAAAGCTGATTAGCATGAGGCTCGGACTGTGCAAAGCACATGGGAACTCAAGTGGGAAGCTATTTTGGAAAGTATCGCAAAGACACTATGCTGAGGCGATCTATCTCATTTCAATCAGGCTGATTTCCTAGTAAGCCGCTGCTATCATTGTAGGGCAATGGCGAAGACTCCAGTTAGGTTTTCGTATGAGACTTGAAGTGTGAGCGGTCGTAACGACAAACCTCTTTGGAGCAAACTGCAAATGAACATGGTCATCTAAGCTATTCTTGGTGCAGAACTGGTTAGGTGTCTGGCTTAAACAGTTTTAAATTGTTTGCAAGTGTTATTTTCCCACATTGATATACCTCTGAGGCAGTTTCAGGCAGATTCCATTGCTTTCATGAGGAAGCAGTTTTCAGGCACACTTTTAGTAGGTGCATATCGGCACAATAAGGCGCAGCTAATAAACATTAGACATATACGCCGTTATCTAATGCATGAGCGAATAATCATATAGCTCAACTTGGCGACTGACCATTCGAGGTTCAGAAAACTCACGAATGATATTATTGATGATTGATTTCTTGTAATTATGCATATAAAATGATTTTGGCATAAAAATGGCAATAACAAACGAAAACCAAATTTCATCAATGAATATTATGTTATAATGAGTGCAACTGTAATGCCATAAAACGTAGTTGACATTGTTTTGCTATCTTGCAATGTAAAACTTATCCACCTTTCATTGTGCGCAGATCAGTGCGAGTAGACCTTAGACTGGCGGCCTCGGTAGCAGTAACAAAGCAAGCCTTCTTTGTCGCCCGAATTCGACTAAATCACAATTCACATGAGCATGTCAGCCCTCGCCATACCATAACTCGTTGATAGGTTTCAAATTATGTTTAACACGAATCTGTTGGAGCTGTTTTTCTCTCACTGCGGGTGTTGCAGTGAAAGATGTACCAATGAACACTTGTAAAGGAGTCTACCAGGCGTTACACTAATGCAATAAGCATGTAACAGGGCCAATAGTTTTGATTGCAATCTTCTAATGATCGGGTGATCATCCTACAAGTTAGCGGCACTTGCTGGTAACTGACTGTAGCTCAGTCTGATTGGTTGGGAATGGATGGATTGACCGCAGACATCGAGAGGCCGTTTTATCTGTGTCTTCAAACCGCTAATGGTAGAGGAACGGGGCATTGCAGAAGTGCCATCACTCAAACGTTCACACAGGCACATGTTATAGAAAGAACTATCGGCAATCACCATTGAGTGCCCTCAGTCACTCAGCATGGAGGGTGTCAGGCACTCACGTCGAGTGTTTCAAACGGAGAGTCTACTTACCATTGAGTGTCCCAGGTACTCGGCAGCGTTGTCCGAAATGTACAGCAGCTTTCCGTTTTGCGTGGTGATCATAAGGAACCCGTTGGTGGCCTGCGAATAAAATATCATGAAAAAGACGCAAGTGATCAGACATACATACACTACATATGCTTGCACATCAACATTACCTACTATTCATATGTTCTGCTTTTTGGTAATGGCACTACACTATGCGAACTAGGTTTCCAACCATTTCTATGCGGTAATTGAGCTCGAGTTTTCCAATGCCCGTGATCGCCGATCAGGAGCAGCGCGATGTCGAGTTTTTTCACTACCGTACTTTCCTCATTACGACAGACTGCGTGAGGCTGTTTCACGGACGACCGGAGATCACTGATCAGTAACCAATGATCGGTGGAGAAAGACCAAAGATCGACGGTCAATGGTCAGAGACTATGGACTTCTCAATAGATAAAAAGACTAGCGACCTATTACTAGTAATGACAAGATTCGGTCATTCTATTCAATCATGACTGATATATGATCCCATAGTTGTCATAACATTTTGACGGATGCCTCACTCCAATCATGAATCCCGAAACACGGTGGACTGTTCTTTCATTCATCTTCCTTATTCAGTCCAGTCTCCGGCTATCCAGACCCGTGACGTCTGAGATAAGAGCCGGCACTCTCTTTTGTACTTGGTCACTCTTTTGATGTCTTTGACCGCCTCTGACCGCATCTGACCGCCGCTGACCGCCTCTGATCATCTCTGACCACCCTACCTCCGCTCTCTGTGTGCGGCGCGGGCATTCACTGCCCCGGCTGATGACGGCAGCGGTCGCCACTCAGCCTCTGACGGCAGCATTCAGCCGGACGCGGCCAGTAGCCGCGCTCAGCCGCACGCTCAATGCACCGTGTCAACAGTGATTAATTCTCCATCGACGCATTGAAAGCGGCGCCCCCTGCAGCAGCACTGCACGACCCTCTTCGCACGCTGGCTCCGGGCATGAATACATTTTCATCCATCATCGGCGCGCTACCTTGTCTCGGCAAATCAGGCCACCGACCGCAGATGGGTTACGCAATAGAGACGTTTAATTCGGACACACTAACGAGATGGGCTTTTGGTTTTCATGACAGACGAGTACGTAAAAATATGTTTGCAAAGCGGGTACATGCATTCCAAGACTGATGCAACAGAAAGGGAACTGGCTGGCCACGAGCAAAGAAAACCACCTGCAAAGTGCTAGTTAATCTTCTGAGATAGAATAACACCATTGTGCATTCGTTTGCAGGACTTTCTGAGAGAATTTCTCTCTATGTGGCCAGCTGCAGCGGTGGTCCGCGCAGTGGGGGGAAAGGTCGACTGCACCGGACAGCCGGCTCCACCGCGTGCCAGAAAGCAAAAACGAATAACTTCATAAATTAGGCATCTAATTAGGATGAGAAAACACACGCACGGACCTCACCGTTTGATTTAATATCGGCGCCGAGGATTTATTCTTGTCAGCGGCCATGTATATGCATGGCCCGGGTCACGGGTCAGATCGCCCGTAATGGGCTGATTATTGAAACGGCGCCCCCAAAAAGCGGCCACTGGTGCTTTATGCCGGCGGCCGGGTATAATGCCGGCGGGAGAGCGGCCCACCTCAGCCTGAGAAGGGTGAGGTGGGGTGCGCTGGAGGTAGGGGTGGGGGTGGTGGTGAGGGTAAGGCGATCACCGAGCAACGACCGGAAGTCGGGACATCAACCGACCACCGTCAAATGACAATAGACCACGGAGATGGGGTGCAGAATGCAGATGCTGCCATGGCTAGACAGCGGATGAAAACAACAATGCTTGAGAGTAACTGTTCTATGCTTGGTGTTTATTGGTCATTGCTTGACAAGAATTTCATCTCTTTTGTTCGATGTGGTGTTGTTTACAATTGAAACACTATAATTATATAGGCCTTATCATTCGAAAAAGTCACTAGTTTCTACTTGGAAAAAATATCAGATTGCAGAACAGCATGATCCCAAAACCCTCAAATTTCTTCCTTCAAACTTAACAAACCCTCAAATTTCTTCCTTCAAACTTTAACCCTCAAAGTTCTTCCTTCAAACTTAACAAGTATCACATACATCATTAAGAGATCCGTTATGGAGCAGACCCAGCCAGCCATATTACTCAGCGTTCCATTGTGCGTATGGTTCCTAATCGGCCTCTCCATAATCCGGACATATAGCTGCACGCTCAGGGTTCAGCCCAGCGGCCGCACAGTGTCCGAACAGACCGCCTGCGTTACGGAGAGTCTGGTAACGCAGCGGACCGCCACGTGTGCCATGTCTCATATCCGGGTTATTATGAACGGCCGCCGGCCGCTCAGGCGGCGATTACACAGGATTTACGGCGTGCAAGCTGCCAGGGAGAAGGAGAGAGAGATAGAGAGACGAGTACAGAGCGCCGCGGGGTGACTCGGACGACGCTCTCTGCAGATCGTCCCTAAAACTGACGGAGAGTTGCTCTCGCGCACCGGCGTTTTGTTTCGGTTCAGTGCAGCCCGGAGCGGCGAACGTGCCGGGGGAGTCAGTGAGCCCACGCGGCACATCCTTTTGTTGGCTGTCTTCTATGGCCGGTTATAAATCGCTGTGTACAAAGGTGTGTGCCTCGGGGCCGCGGCGGCAATTTGTAGGCCTGGAGAGGTGGCGGACGTGGGATGTCCAGCGCCGGTCCGGTGACTTCATCAGGGCACATGAACGTAGCTCAGCGAGCCCACGGCGGGTGGGTAACGCCGAACCTACGCGCGCTGACGGGAGACTGCAGCGAAACACAAGCACATAACCGGACGGAGACTGCAATAGAGCACTAGACCATAGCGAGTCGGAGACTGCAAGAGGGCATAGGAATATAACCTGAAACGCAATGCAGTGCAGACTTCAGACGCTGCGCGGTAGGAAATGTAAAAGTAATATACCAATGTTTACAGTGCATCCGTGGATACTCTGTCTCTGTTATAAATATGCTATTGGATATAAATTAATTTGTACTCACCTTGGAGAAACCCAACGGCGGGGGAGGACGCGCCTCCGGCTCCATCGACTTGAAAACTGAAAAGAAAGGATTCAGATAATAATTAAAAAGGCTAGATGACCAACCGACAAAGCAAAACATTCACATTCAGTGGCTCACTGCGATTTAAAGGGCGTAACTGCCAGTGGCGTCACCACAATCTAGATCAAGTGCATGTAGAGCCGTTATATTTGATCGCCAAACTGATTCTGACAGCAGATATGTTCCGACCAACAAAGAACGTCGCAGTGCCAAATGTCCGCAACGGCTTGTAAGCTTCTTACAAATGACAGGCTTTTAACTTGTTCTCTGAGCCATAGAGTACCATGATAGGACGTCCCGGCCATATCCCGGGTGTAGACCAGCACACTTCAATAAACGGCCATCTCCCCGAATAACAACTTTGAACAGTGAAGAAAACACTTCCAAGAAATAACATGCTATTATTCGCCTAAGATTATTAATTACAGTTTCGCTAGAACCACACAGTGCAGCGTCCAAATCAAGTCATCAACGAGGGCCACAAACAATAATCACTACATCTGGTGAGAAACTTCGGCGCCATGACATCCCTGAAGACGGAGAGTCTCGGTTAGAGCGGCCAGATAATAGGCAAGCGGTTGTCACCAAGATCGATTTGGTTTATATGGCCTCATCAGTCGGCGGCGTCGACGGAGATGTATCGCGCCTGTCCTGGCCATATCCTGTCGCAGAATGGTGTCATACATCACTGGTCGCTGTCCGGGCCGGCAAGTGATAAATTCGACTCGTTGCCAGACGGGCACTAAACCAGCCATATATCATACTAAGAGCACCGGTAACCGAGATAAGCCATACGCCGCCAGACAGCTTCGGTGTTCGACGCCGACAACGGTTACTCAACGGCGAGGGGTATTGTTCGCCCGCGCCGGGTAACAAGTGCTTTGTTTGAGCAGAACTACTCGGGCTTCTGGTGTAAGACAAACCCAGTACCAGATGTTCAAGTGTGAAAGATAGTGAAGATATTGAGTATCGCTAAGTATGTGTATCACAAAGATATGGTCAACTAAAAATGTAGCCTCATGACCCCTAGCCCCGTAACATAACAAGCCGATGAGTTATCTGAGAAGTGATATTACAAATCACCAGCAAACTTCAAGCTCACTGCCATTCACTGCTCGCTGCAGTTTCATTCTCTCGATCAGAGGTCATCACCCAGCCCGGCAACGGAGCTCCATCTCTATATCATCCCGGAGCGCTGACTCGTCTCTTCTGACCTGCCAAATGCCCCTGTCCTCTCCATCCGACCGGTGACCTCTCTGAGGGCGCGTGCCCGGCACTCTCTCGGCCGACTGTACCGGTGATGAGCCAAGCACCGATCCATCACCGTCCACCGACCGGAATAGGCGACCGGAGCCGGCGCAGTGCTGATCCACGGCCCCCATTCTGTTCCCAGCGAGCCGCGAGCGGCCAACCGACGCCGAGCTGCAGATGCGAGAAGCACGAGCATCACGCGCGTCCGAGTAACGGGCCGAGCGGGCGCCGGAAAAAGCGTCACCTCTCGACTCCAGCCGCCTTGTCATTAGCCGGTGTACCAACAACTGACCGGGTCGAAAATGAACGGCTCGCGCTTTCAATTACGGTTTCAATCACCGACTGAGTGGAGCTTCCTCGGCGCAAAGGTTGTATGGCGTTTTGCAACGCGTGTTTTTGTGGTTTGTCTGCTGTTCGACGGTGTTTACATGACGTGGATTGGACTCATTTGCCGTCTCGGCGTCTTGTTTTCGGAAGGACAATAGGTGGATTTAAAGACAAACGCATTACGCACATTAGAGCAGCGTCCTATATGTCTCCAACAGTGGTGTGGCGCAATATTCGGCACAAAAACATCTGAACTACGAAAATGTTTCAGCTCATGGCCGTTCATGAGGGCAGGGCGGCAGCCACACCTGTTACACGGGATTCTGAAGTCGGGGACAGGTTTGATCAAATAAAAAGGCATCTTAGATGTGATAAACCCATAAAAACATGCTAGATGATGATGCAACGTGGCAGACTCGAGACAGCTAAGCTGGCAATGTGCACGGAAATGCTTACCAACATGTCGTGCTGGCCCAACGTTCTCAGAGTCCCATGCATAATCGCAGAATAAATGGCTCAATTTGGTCTCAGCCGAGATGAGATGAGACGATAATCTGATTTGCATGTTAGCTGCGTGAGTTGGGTGAGCTTGCTGCGCATGTGGGCCAGATTAAAGAGCTGGTAGGTCACTTCCTGACTGGTGGCGAGCTTTTAGATGCAGTGACATTGTCTAACCGGTCCCCGGCATCCATCAGGATTAGACACTTCCCTGTTCGCACCGCGACCACCCAAGTTGCATAAGCATGTGTTTGAGTTATGCTAATTTATAACGATGCACTTCGTTTAAACAGAATTGCAGAGGTGTATGAAAATAATATGGTATGGCTTGAAGTTCATTAGACTAGAAACTTTTCACTAAATAAGTGTAAAAAGAAAAATGTGCTGCATTTCTTTTCACGTAATCCAATGATAAATCAATTACGTTATAGATTACGACGGTCTGTCTCGTTCTCCTAACAAGGCTGACAGTTGCCAGAATGTTAAAGGTTGTAAATGAGAGCCATCAAAGGAGATGACGAAATCGGCCATTCTGCGGCTAGAGGGAGGAAGCAGAATCTCAAAGATTATCCGGAGTGAGGTCATCCCGGAAACACGCACCCCAACAACGTAGCAGTGGACCGCCCTAGAGCTCTGGGGCCGTATTCACGTCGATCATTTTCGTAAGAATTTTCTTACGTTTGACCTACTTCTTAAGTACATTTTTTTGTTCACGTGAGCTCCGTCGATAAAAACTTAAGAAGTGTCGACGTGAATACCAAATTATACTTACGAAAGAAAATCGACTTACGAAGTCGACGTGAATACGGCCCCAGATCACACAAACTGCCTCACCCTGCTTTGCTTAGCTTGTAATGTGACTTTACAGAATGCTCATTCTAAACTTCGCACACCAAGGTGCTTTTCGATGCATGGTACATACGTACTAGCTAGAGTTGTTTTTGTTTTTGCTTTTTTGACAGAGTGCACCAGCTGGTGAAGGCTTGTTTCTCCTTCCGAACAAAAAAACAAAAACATTAAATATTTTGCAACACGAAACGTGATAAGCCATAAAAGCTTATTTAGTCGTGGATTCCCACAAGTTCCAAGCTTATAACTGCAATCATTCCCCAACGGGCAATTCTGCCTCCAATACTTGGACAGCGCAGGTGATATTGTAAATGCTCTCATGTGCACCAGTATATTGTGGTTCCACTTGCATTAATTTACGGTTAGCCTGTAACGTGTCCCTGAGAAAAAGACGTAGCATTTGAAATGGACGAAATCAACAACCAGGAGGTGAGCGGTAAATGATTTAAACGCAACTACACTGTCATTACTATGCATGCAATCGAATAAATCATGTCATTCGAGCAGCCGGAGGATGCGGACGATAATGGGGATGTGTTGCTACCTGTTTATGATGCGGAACGGAGACCGTTCTGCCGATTCAAACTGACATTTGGCATATCAGGAGCTAATTTCGTAGGGTGGAGCCGTCGGGCGTCAGAATGAGTCTAATTATATCGATAAGAGTAATACATGTCATGAGACGTGTAACTTTGATTTAGTTCATATGAAAGACGTATGAGCAGACATCCCGGTATTACGTAACCCCGGTAACTACGAGCTGTGAGTGTTCGGTAACTGGTTAATTTACTGTTTTCCCATTTCGTTTTGTATTCTTGTTCTTGGTAAGCACGCTTTGTTCTTTGTGACTCATTTAGTGTGTTCATTACTTAGAACATAGAGGTCTATTCTTGTCGTCAGCGTATGACGCTCGGACATTGTTCTACATATGCGAAGGTCAGCTTTGACTCAGTTTATAGTTCGAACATAGAGCTTCAGTGTCACACAGCAGCGAAACATCTCAGGATTGACTAAGCGTTTTGCAAAGAAAGACAGTTACAAAGGCAGACCTACTTACCTACACCGGGACATATTGAGGCATGGTAGCTAAACCGAGATCGAATTGCATTGCATTGTTTAGAGCCTTCTCATGTTTTCAATACAGTAATCCATCAAATAATATTTCATCATATGCCATAATAAGTGAATAATGTACTGCTAACTGCAACACTCTGCCACCCTCCCTTCACCAAAGCAGAGGCCGTAATAATCAAATATTCACCTAGTCCGCCCTGCGGCCGGCTAATTGTCTGGCCCGACCTGCGGGCTGCCCGTTCTCGTTATCTGAACAGGTATGTGGTCATCTCTGAGCCGATCAGATCAATACTGCAGAGCTTCCCACGTTGTGGCGGGCCGTGCACGTAGACCGCGAATTACGTATGCGTCCGCGCCGGGCCGGGGTCGCAGGGTCGCGGGGGAGGGGCGGGGCGCCCGCCAGCGGCGTGGCCACGTCGTTCGCCGGACCGGACGGCCGGCGGCCGGCGTCGCGTGCTACGAGGTGCTAACACGGCGCCGAGTGGCCCCGCTATCACCGACGGTTATCGATGGGAGCTCGACAGAGAAGTGCTGGTCGGTGGGTCGTCTGGGGTTCGCCACCCACCCGTCTCCCGCCGCCCGCCGCCCGCCGCCCCGCTGCAATGCTCATTGCCCCGCCGCCCGCCGCCCGCTGCATTGCCGCCCCGTTGCCCGTTGCCACCACCGCCGCCGGCAGCGGGGTCGTTGGATCACACAACCTCGGATGTGGTGCCACGCCGCTCGGGACGGCCCAGGTCGCAGTTCGCGGATCGGATGATGTGGCGAAACCACCAGTGAAAATATGGGCGAGCGCCCAGTAGCCCGAAATAGCGCAGAGTGGCACACTGCATTGCCCGAATACCGCTACCCTACTCATGGCGGCTTGTTTGGCAGAGAAGTAACGGCGTACCACAATTAAATGACGGGTGCCGAGCATTCGATTTCCAGACCTTCTGTGACTTTTCAAAGCAAGTTCTCTGAACCATGGAAAAATGGCGAGCTTCGCAAATGATGGTTA